CACTCACTCACTCACTCACTCACTCTCTTACACACTCACTCACTCAACTCACACACAGTGGACCACACTTAATTTGTTTAACATTTTACAACGTTTAACATTGAGTAGAAAAGTGTGAGGTTTTTTAAAAAGAATGAGTAGAGCATATATAGGCTAGAACAAGGTTTAATCTGGCCGCAGATTTTCTCTATTAACAGTAAAGCGGTGGCTTTAATTCCTTTAGAAACAATGATGCTACCAGCTCCTTGTTGAGAAAGATAATGTAGCTCTTGAGCGATTAAGCTATTTAGTTGATGATAACTGTGTTCCTGATTGTCTTGAGTGCGGCCGCAGCGTGATCTGTGTGTGTGACTGCACTTAACATCAAACTGCTTCAGTTTCACACAAATGCTGGCACAGACGGTCATGTTCGGCTAGAGTTGCTCTGAACTCGTGCATCTTCGGAAGCGGAGCTGCGCGGAAAGTTACAAAAAAATGTCACGCACACCGCCACGCAACCTTCCGCCAACTTTTTAATTCAGAGTTCGGATAACAAATCCTCCATTTAGATTGTGCTTCAGAGGGGCATCCTGGAGTTGAAGAAAGAACATTTCTAATAAAAAAGTTATTGCATTTTTTATCTAATACATAAACACCATTAAATGCAAGTGTAGGAAAATGGTTGTTTACACAGCCATAACATAAATGCGCTTTAAACGTTTTTAAACTGACAGGGATACTTTGTCACCTTATTAAAATCTCTTAGTGAGATTGATGCACCTTTCAAAAACACTAAATCAGGAAAGGAAAGAAGGTCCCGGTCAGAATCGAACAAATCAGAAACAAAAGCTATCTTGATTCACCCATTCAATGAAACAGAGTGATTTGTTACCAGACAATGTTTTCATTGTTCCAAAGTCTCTCTGCAGCCAGCAACACAAACCCTTTCTAATGTTATCTAACCTTGTGATGGAGACGGTCTGAATCAGATCTGCAGATATCAACCCCTAGATATTTGACATGACGTTTAACTATAATACCATCAACAGAATTTTTATTGGAATCATGTACATATAAAATTTCACTTTTTTGAGGATTTACTACTAATCCTGAAGCTTTGGAGAAAATAATAAATTCATTGAAGGCAACAGAAACTTGTGAATCATTTTTAAGAAAAAGACAAGCATCGTCAGCTAACTGGCTAATTATCAATGTATTCCCTCCAATATTTATACCTTCAATATTGGAGTGCTTTATATGCAAACTTAATAGCTCGGCGGCTATTAGAAAAAGAAAAGGAGAGATGGGGCATCCCTGCCGAATACCTCGAGCCACAGAAAACCGGGGAGAAGTGCCGGAAGCTAAGGAAACACAACTGTTAATACCGTTATATAAAGTACGAATCGCATTAATAAAGGATCTACCAAAACCAAACTGATAAAGGGCTTCAAAAATAAAGGAATGCTCAACTGTATCGAATGCTTTATAAAAGTCGATAAACAAAATTAAAGCCTCTTTATTTATGATTTCTGAATAATCTAAGATATCTATAATTAATCTAATATTGTTAGAGATATGTCTACCTTTTAGAAAACCAGATTGAGTGTTAGAAATTATGTTTGCTAAGCAAGATTTGAGCTTTTCAGCATATACAGCAGCCAGTAATTTATAATCAGAGTTCAAAAGGGTGATCGGGCGCCAATTATCCAAAATATTGGGATCTTATTAGGCTTAGGAATAAGACAAATGAAACCTTGTTTCATTGATTCTGCCAATTCACCAATGTTTAAACACTCAATAAGGGCTTCGTAAAGAAGATACTTAATAGAGTCCCAAAAGACTTAAAAAAAAATTCAAACGGTAAGCCATCCGGCTCTGGAGATTTATTTCTTTTTACTATGTTATAAAGATCATCTATAGTAAAGGGTTCCTCACAAAGTTCTCTATTGTGGTATTGTGGGCTAGGAATCACAGAATGAACTTTATGAAAAAATAAAGATGAAGCATTAAGATCAAAAGAAGAGGTGTATAGGTGTATAGAAAAGTTAGAAACATGAGAAGAGATCATGGAGGGGTCATTAGATAATGTATTATTAATATATAGAGAGGAGATCCTCTTATTGCTTCCAGGTTTTTTCTCTAG